AGAGGATGAAGACGAGGAGGAGGGTGGGGGAGGAGAAGATCCCTCTGTCAGACACAGGGCAAGGGTCTGGGCTCAAGAGAGTGACATAACCCCGGTGTGGTCCCACACCGAGCGCATTAATGAGCGTCTGAGAGGGATTTAAGCTTGAGGGCTTAGCACAGATCAGGCGCCTGAGGAGAGCGGGGCTGGACTCTGAGCCTCCATTATGGTGCAGACTGGGAGAGGAGCATTAAGGTCTCAGATGAAAGCACCTGGAACACTGGGGGGCTATCTGACATCTAGAACAGTTCTCCAGAGCATTGCATTTACTGTTGTTAGACTGCTGAGCACGTTTATGCAACAGCATTTTGTGAAAAAAAGAGAGGCACAAGTGATAAAAGAGTCTTTTTAGGGACTGTATTCGACATGTCAGAGGGAAGAGCTGCGTCTTTCAGGACTTTAGACCCTTTTCTGTGACTTTTAAAAAGTGACAATGCAATTTACACTGTTTAACCCTAGAACCCTATCACCAGGTGATTTTCACCCAACCAAACATGTTTATATGATTTTTTATTGTGTTGCGTTTGTCTGAGTATCTTGGGTCTCTAGGTAATTTCAGCATTGCCTTTGACATCTTTAAAGGCATATTTGTTTCCCTGATCCAAAACTCACTTTTTCCTACAGGCATGTGTTCGGGTGATTTTCACCCAGCAATAGTGATAGAGATACCTCTATCTGCTGAGGTTTGCTGTAGGTTTGGGTGGATTTGATAGCTGATTGTAGGGAATAAGGTCAGTATTCAGTATGAGCTGTCCTGGAATTTGCATGCTATCTTTATTTAGTGCAGTGGTTATGAATAACTATCACAAGGGAATTCATATGGTGATAAGAAATATTTTAGTCAGCTGGTCATTTTTACTCACTCAAAATATGCAATACTTTGGTTCTCTCTCCTGCAGCTGTTGTTGTGCCAAGGACCTCGAGTCTTCACCAGGGAAGACTCACATTCCCCAGGAATGGGTGGAAAAGAAACTAAGTTTACGGTTTCTTTATGTGTGTGTGTGTGTGTATATACAGGCCAAAAGTTTGGAAGCAAGATCAGATTTGTTCAAAAAAAGATCATAGTTTCATTAATATAATTTGCAACACAATAAACATGACTATTGTGTAAAGAGTAACTTATCAGAAGACATTTTTAATATAATTATTAGGTATTTGAGTTATTGTTTTTCTTTAAAGTAACCTCCTCTGGCTTTAACAACAGCTTGGCATATACCAGGCATTCGTTCCACAAGTTTTCTAAGGTATGTTCCAGGGATTGCATTCTAAGCTTTCTACAGTTCATTAAAAAGAGACTGCTGATTTGTGGGACGCGTTTTTCTGACCGATCGATTCAATTCATCCCGCACAAGCTCAATTGGAGAAAGACCCGGAGACTGAGGGGGCCAAACCATCTTTTGAAGAACACCTTCCTCTTCTTTTTTGTCGAGGTAACCCTGACAGAGCTTGGCAGAGTGCTTAGGGTCATTGTCTTACTGCAAAACAAACTTATGAGCCACAAGTCTGAGTCTAGATGGAACAGCATGGTGCTGGAGGATGGAGTGGTACTGGTTCTTCTTCATGATACCCTTTACTTCAAACAAATCTCCTACTCCATCACCTGCAAAACATCCCCATACCATGGAACTACCACCTCCATGCTTAATTGTGGGTGTAACACATGGTGCTTTCAGATGTTCACCAGTTTGTCTGCAGACATAGACTCTGCGTTTTGAACCAAACAGTGCAAACTTGTTTCTAGTCATCTTAAGTCCAATTTTTGTGAGCTTTTGCCCTCTCATCTCTCTTTTTATTATTCTGTGGACGAAGTAGTGTTTTTTTGCAGTACACAACCCTTCAGACCAGCCTTTCTCAAACGTCATTTCACGGTTGTCAGAGATATGGGTCATGTTGATTTCCTCCCTTATTTGTGGTGCTGTCTTTCGCCGATCTCTCTTACTGGTGACAATGCTATGTTTATCCTCTGCTTTTGTAGTAACTCTCTTTCGTCCAGGTCATTTTCTATCATCATAACTTCCAGGTTCCTCTAGTCTCTTCAGAGTGTAGTGGACTCCTTTGTTAAACACCTTTAGGTGTTTTGCAATTTCTCTTTCTGTGTATCCTTCTTTCCTCAATATACAAATATGTACTTATGTTTCCTTACTCAGTTGCTTCTTTCGCCATTTTTGTGGTAGTTTAAACGCAGTTGAGATTTATTAGGATTTTTGTATGCAGACTCTCAAAAGCCAAAAAGTTGAAGTGAATAATCCAACTGTGATTTGTTTTTTTGCTTTTGCACTGAGGTTGTAACTCTTGCAAATGTTTTCAACCCTAAAACTAAGCCCTTATTATCTTTTGCTGACATATAGTTAGCAATGGTCTGTTAACATCAATGTATATCGAAAGGTAAATGGAGTAAAATGGTACATTTCCATAAGAGGAAGATCTGATCATTTGAAGGACATTTGAAGGATTTTATAAACTCCCCCAGACAAGGCCAGACAGCCCCCAAAGAAGGGGACATGTCCGGGTAAAGAGGGTGTATGATCACCCTAGGTAACACCCAACAAGCATCTTTCTCCCTTTCTCTTTCCTTTTCCTGTCTGTCATCAACTTTGAATCATCTGGGCCCATTAGAGTTCCTGATACAGTCTTTTCTTGGAGTCCCTGACCTCCATCATGCCGTTGGTCCCTTTGGACCGACTTTTTACTGCCATGGACCTGCCTGTTTTCACCTCTGTTTGTTTCCCTTTATCAACTCTCTAAACCCAATGCAGTCTCTGTCTAACATGGTTCTGCTCGAGGTTTCTGCCTGTTAAAGGAAGTTTTTCCTCTCCACTGTAACTTTTTTTGCATCTTGGGAAATCACTATGTAGATAAAGATTAATTGATTTGCTTTTTCAGTATCAAGACTGAATATAACATATGATGGTGTCCTACACAGATACATCTTAAAATATGCTGGAAATGATTTGGCAGCCAATAAAGAGAGGCCAAGACTGGAGTAATGGGCTCATTTTGGGATGGGATGCAGTCTGAATACAAGCCCCCTGCTCTCTGAACCAACTGCCGACCTCACAAACTCCTCTTTGGTCACCCCGACAGAAGGGCACCACAATGATCTAATCTGGATGAAGCAAAGGCACAGATAAGATCCTTGGCATCATTAAACAACAGGATTGGACTAATCTTGGTGATGTTTCTGGGGGAGAAAAAGGATCTAATAAACAAACTTATGTTCCTTATTTGTTTTACAGTATATCTATTGTTATCATTATCAAGCTTTGTTTTCCAATGTTGGATGTCCACAAATTTGTTTCAATTCTGCTTTAAGCGAATCACTGAATTACACCCACATCCTTGTTACTCGTCTTACGGTTGATTGGTCCGTGGTTGACTCTGAAATCGAATGGCATGGTGTCTCTGTAACTCATCAGTATAGCAGTAAAAAATCAATCATGATAGGCTGTAAGACCTGAGTGGAGCCAGGTAGAGTGAAAACAATAGTGGACCCAGGATAGACCCCTGAGGAACTCCATGGCAAACAGCCCAGAGAAAATGAGAAAATGCAGTTTTTTTGTCTTAAGATTGTCTTGCACTATGTAGTAAACTTTTTTATGCTGCCAGGACTCCCTGAAAAAGAGATTTTGTGTCTCAGTGGGAGTATTTTAGGTAAAATAAATGTTGAATGAAGAATTAAATTAAAATTAAAAGCCCTCAAGACTGGGCGGGAATCTGGTCCCAACAGTGCAGCTGTTTTTTGCCTAATGGCCCAAGAATTTAGTCTCTTTCATGGAGCATTATACAGATTTTAAGGACATAGTTCAGCACCCTAACCTTGTTTATAAAACTTTTAAAACACTTGGATAATAGATGCTGAAGTTGCAAAGGTTTTTGACTGCACGTCCACACTCATCTGCCAGCTGTAGATGTTTTAAGCTCTGCAGATTAAAGTTCTACACACAAAGCTTTACTTATCAAATATAATACACTGTAATAGTCAGAAGTGCCCATTACTTTTGACATTAGTTCCATCCCAGCAGGCTGCTGCTGCAGCCGTAAGCTGCTTTGACATTAAAGAGTGAGTTCACTGCAGGGAGACTCGGCCGTCTATGCGGAGGAGGGTCACAGTCATTTTTATACAATTAAGTTTGTGCCGTGTAAGATTAAAAACTAAACACAAAAAATAAGTCTTTTTCGATCACTCTTTAGGGGAAATATAGACACAGACATCACCAATAACATCTTCAAAGTAAAATTTCACAAACCAAGGAGATTTTGTGAACTCTAAAGCTTCTTGAAAAGTGATTTTGGATAAGAGTTTCATTTTTTTTTTCACTGCAGTTTTGCTTATTTTACTTTTAAAAAACGCATAAAGTATGTCTCCCTTCAATTATACAAATAAAAACTTATTTTTTTACTCTGTTTTATTAACAAAAGTGATTAGCTCTGTAGTGAGTGGTGACATCTTTAACACTTCTGATTCTGTATCATTTTGCTTTATTTTTTGGTGCTATCGTGCAAACACCTAAATCCACGAGAACCAAATTTATTACTCATGCAAAAAAAATTATCATGCACTGTGCAAGTTTTGTCTTAAATTTACACCAATTTCTTAAATGCATAAATGCTGTGTAACTGTGGATGCTTGAATGTTGTGCACTTTCATTGTTCTAGTCATAACTCTCTGTTTTACTCTGTTGATATTCTTACATCTATTTTTCTTTTTCAGAGATACAGTGTGAAGAAGAATCTCAAGCAGAGTCCAGCACTCAAATTCCCTGAGCTCCCTTGCTCACTCCTCTTATCAGTGAGGTGATGGTGGCCCTCCAGGACAAGAAGCCATCATGGTCTGTGGTAAGTAAGACCCTCTATTTGTCGAATTTTTACCATCAAAATGTCTATCAATACAAAATCTTTCAAACAAAGCAAACACTCTCTTCTCCTTCATAATTGGCGCTCTTTGCTCGGCCACCCATGTGCACAAAACACACGTTATTATAAGTCTGTTCTGTGTCACCATAGAAACATGCTGGTGCAAGATGGCAGTCTCTGTGGAGGATGACCCACTCTTTATGTTGTAATTAAATAAGACTACATCTAAGTTAGCTAAAACAAAAGGATTTCTATATCTGGGTGATAATTCTCTAATTTAAATGTACTGCAACTCTGGAGGGTTGCATCATTTTTATAGATCTGTTGCTCAGTTTTTTTGTCATTTTAAACCTCCTGTTAAAAACTTTTGGGGTTTTGCTATGTTCGGTACCCCCAGTGGAGATAACAGGGTCTTTTGGCTAAACTTGCCCTGCACATATAGTAGTGTTTTTTTCTGACAAATGAATCATCTTTATCAGAGATGTCCAACATGCAACTCTCAGGGAAAGTTGTAGAAATATTTAAAAACATCTGTTTTTGCTAGCTTAGTTGGGAGATAAATGAACTTTAAAATGATAAATAACCTTTATTGGAATATTTGGTCTTTATCCAAGTGATCTGGCTTGCTTTGATTGGTCATATAGAGACATCAGTGTGAATTTCAGTTTGTTTTAAAACTAGCCCAAAATTCCTTACAGTAGCTTTAATTCTGCAACTTAACTTTTTGATGAATTGGTTTGCCAAAAACGTTTTGCAACAAACCTGCTCATTCTGCACCTCTTAGATGTATAAAAAGTTTCATTTCCACATTGTTCTACCAGCTTAGGAGGTATATTCGAAAGTACTTTAGATCAAAATCAACCCCAGAGACACAGAGGATAAAATATGTAAAGGTTGAGATTTTAAAAACTGCCTACCAAGAGACCTACTTTCAAAAGTGTCCCAAAAACATGCCGTTAAAAACAGTTTGAATATAAATAAATAAAAAGCCTCCTCTCTGCACGCTCTGAACTTTGTATAGGACCTGCTGTGTGAAGAGAAAGAAGCCCAAATGGGCGTTATGTAAACACATTCTCTGCACGCACAGCCCAGCAGCCACAGCTGGCTGGACTTGCGTAAGAGGGCCTGGCTCAGGCTCGCTGTATGCCATCCGGGTTTTTTAGATCACAGGAAATCTGCTTTGGTTCAGTCCTGTGTCACAGCAACCGAATACATGGTGCTGCAACGGATGGATTATCATAAGTGCAGGATTTAGGTTGTCCCAGATAGCCAGAGATTCCAGAGAGACTTTTTGCCCCAGATGATTTCCCAAAAGCATTCATGAAACTTTGAGGGGGTTGCTGAGAGGTTACCGGCCGTAACTCAATCCACATTAAGTCAGATTTCCGATTTTTGGATTCCGCTGGAAGTATTTAGACTGTAAGCGGAAAAACCAGAACGCAACTGACATAAGTGAGGGCAAAAAGGAGGCACGGAAATTTTCCTCTTGTTTCATTTTCAACCTGTACCTTCCTGTTAGAGCCGGTACATGTGTGAGAAATACAAGGACCAGAAACAGACAAACCAAAGTGATTTCTGACATTTCAGAGGCATACTTTTTATAGTTTTAAACCCTCCTGTTGTCGAGCAACATATACTTGGAATACTTGTCAAACATTTCCTTGTACCACACTGGGACAAAACCTCCTGTTTAACCAGAATCATCTGACAGGTATCAGGTGATAAGAGACTCTCGTACTGTCAAAATAAAACATGATGTCTCTCTGTTGGCTTCAGGACAGAACAAACAACAGCAGAGAACAGATCGAGCTCTCCTACTGAGAGCAAAGATAAAGTTTAAGGTACTTCTGTTGGACATTTTTAGGTGCATACCTGAGTCAAATATCAGGTTTTAGCGAGCAGATAGTCACTGTTATGTAACAAGAAGCTCAAAACATCAAGATAAAGAGCTGCTTGACTTTTCAGTTTGGGTATAAATTCAACATTTGAGATATAACCTGAACTAGTCATCCTGAAGGCGCTGATTTAGATGCAGATTTTCATAAATTTATCCAGCGTCAGGTTGATAAGGCAGCAAGTTAACCCCACTTCCGAGCAATTTCTCCCCCAGCAATGATTTCCTGCTCCCCCTGGCGGATCCTGAGGCGTTCTCATTGAGCTCCAGGTCTGCCCTGGGGCGTCCTACCAGTTAGGCGCACCTCTAAAAGGAGGCGTGCAGGAGGTATCCTAATGAGACGCCTCAGCTGACTCCTCCTGGTGCAAAGGAGCATCAACCACTCCAGTCCAGTCGCCCTTTATAGGAAACTTAATTTGGTTGTATACTGTATTGATATCTCACTCCTTCAGTCACAACCCAAAGATCATGACCCAAGATGAGGGTGAGAACGTAGATAGACTGGTCAGTCACAACGTGCACTTTCAAGAAGACCCCAAGATCCTCAGACTTCTTTTTACTTTGAGCAACAAACTGAATAAAAACAGACGTGCTTTATTTCCAGATATGCACATGAAGCAGAGAGGAGGTGTGTTCTTCCTGCTGCAGGCTTTGGCAGGTATGTCTGTTACACTTATCAGTACACTTTAAACAATAACACGTCGCTCTTCCCGTAGACCATATGCTCCTCTTCTTGTCCCCCTGGTTCTCGGTGCAGGTGTTTGAGCTGCTGCAGAGGACTGGACGCAGTTGTGGAGTTTGATTTGAAGGCGGAAAATAGACATAGAGATCCAAATAATAGTTTGGATAATTGTTTTATTAAGCATTCTGAGCACTTCAAGTTGCTACACTACATTTATCTAGTTTGTTTTTATAGATATGCATGTTGTGGATAAGAAAAATAATTGCAATATACGTATATATTTAGAGTTGCACAGACCCATTTTATTGTTTTTTGCAAATTGCATATTGTATAGATGGTCAGACTGGAATGTGACCTGCAAAAAACACACAATAATGTTGATTTTGAAACATTCAGCGGTACATAACCTTGAAAAATGTGAAAAATCCCTCAAAGTAATAAATCAAACAAAAACAAACAAACAAACAGATCTGCCTTTCCTCTCAGTCTGTAGAGCTTCAGTGAGTTTCATCTCATCATTTAGCTGTTGAGCAGCAACTTTTAACTTCTAAAACTCTCTGTAAACTATTTCCTTTAGCAGCAACTCAAAGCAGAACATCAAACTAGAGCACTCAGTGGAGTTTTTCGCCTGTTGGTCAAAAACAGACTCCAAATGAATAAAAATGTCCTCCTGCCTCACAAGCCATTAAGCTCAACATATCCATTGTATAAAGAGATGTGCTGTGTTCGAGTTTAAGGACACGGCACCAGTGAGAAATATTCAGTGTAATCTCCACAAGCGCAGCTCAAAATTTATTCATACATGTTTATTTTACAGCAGCATATATGCTAATGTGAGCTGGTTTGTTGGAGAGAGAAAACCTTTTCTAAATAATGAATAAGACGTAGTAATTTGCATGTATAATGTGAATTCACTGTGGTGGTGAAATTAGAGCTGATTTGCCAGCAGCTCTTACCTTGGCATGAATATGAGGAAGGTCATGCTCCAACAAGTACAGCCAGGCACTGATTAGTGGGTAATGCACTTAGTTCAGTAAGTGGAGTAAAGCGCTCCGCTGTATAATTGGGATATACTGGATTTGCCTCACTTGGTCTGCCAGCATGGCACAGTCTTAACAGTCACAGGAGCGCGTAGCTTACAGCAGCTCACCTCATTCGCGCACCGAGTGAGGATGAAGAATCGCTCCAACAATGAGCCGCTGTGTGTTCGAAACCTGGGAAAAACTGCAAGTGAAGCACCTTAACCGGAGTCCAGCTCACAGCTGAGCCAAGCACGTGTTCACACTGTTAAATATATAAAAAAAGATGTTTCATTTCATCCTGTTATTCCAGTTTTGAATGTCCAAAAAGCTGCTGTATGTTTCAGTATCGACATTTCTATAATGCCATAGTTTTATCCACGTCACTGTTAAGGATGACCAGAAATTTCCTGAAAAACCATCCCCTTTTTATGACTTCTGCTTAGAATATTCAAAATAAATATATTTCACTGTCAAAACTTGCTATTATGAGACGCTATTAAAGGATGAAGAAAGTTAAGCAAAGACATTTTTGTCCACAGGGGGGCATTAGATTTGACACAAGCAAAAAGTTCCTCACAGGAGCTTTAAATTCCGGCAAAGTGATGAATTTGGAGGGAAAAAAACACTCCTAAAATCTTTTAAACGCAGGTTCACAGAGGCTAACTTTAGCATGATTTCATTTAGCCCTGATAACTTTCTGCTTGTTCCAAATACATTGATAACTGCACTTAGAATGTTTTTAAAAAGTTTTTTGATCCCTAACTTACCCATTTTCAATAGAAAAGTCTTTTTAAATGGTTCAAGTCTGGGCCCTGATTCTTGTCTCTCTGCTACAAGCTAAGCTAATGTGATCTCCAGCTGCCTCTTTCTGATATTAGCAAGAAAACTGTGTTTCCGCTGCTTACTGGACAAAAAATAGTTCCTGTTTGCACCACATACAACCACAACTTAAACTCTTTACCTTTCAGTTTGGGTGAGATTCTGTCTCATGAGACATGAAATGCAAATTAGTGAACTAAAGCTGCCAAAAGAATATAATTTACATATTTATAAAGAGAGCAAGGCTAAAGTAAACGATATTTATCAGGTTGTTAAATGTGTCAGTAAGATTTTTAAAAACATGGTTACTGAGGTGGCAGAAGTTTGGGACATATTTGAAATAAAAGTAGTATTTTAATATTTGATTTCTGAATTTTAGGTCACTAAAAAAAAATAAAGTTAACCTCCCTGTTCTTCAGGATACAGCAGCATGGAAGCAGATCAATGAATCACACTTAAAAGCTTTTAATCCACCAATCCATCCACAATATAAGGATCACTGTCTCTGACTGGCTATTGCTTATGAAGACTCTATAGGCATGTGTACAATGTTCCTCTTTAGTGTTTTGATTTGACAGACTGCTAACACACGATCGTCACCTGCTGGCCTGGCATGCATATGGAAACAGGACTCAAAAGCACATCTGATGTAGAAAAAAGCCAATTTTTTAGTTTTAATTCCAAAGTTCAATAACTGGACTTGGATGGATAACTTTCACATCTAATTTTCCTAGTGACACAAAAAGAAATGCTGTTGAATGCTTTATTGAAATCCTGGTTTATCAAGTTTGGTTGATTTATGGTTTAGTGGATTTCAAATTGAGCCCAGAAATAATTAAGTTTGAGAATAGCTGCATATCAGAAAACCAGATAAAATGATCCTGTTTGCACACTAGGCTGTAAAAGTTGATAGAAGTACTTTCTTGTCAGAATTCACAATTTTTTTTTATCAGTAATCATATGCTTTGTGTTAAATCTTTGCTAGAAGGGGACTTTAAACTGCTGTGAAATGGAAATTACACAGAGAAAAACTTTTTATTTATCTGATATGTAAATAAGTAGAAATGCAAAGTGGCACAAAGTGGAAAGACTTCAGAGGAGTGCAAGGAAAGAAAACAGCCCTTAAATAAATGTACTCAAACTGAAGGATAAACCTCATTTATCAGCACTTCCATTGGCAGAGTGATAGAGTCCTACATCCCAGTCACACTAGCACTGTGTCTCAAGGATTACTCTGAATTAAACCTGATCAGTGTGGCTTTCCATTTGGTTGGGTAAAGCAATTTAGCAAGACCACGTTTGAGTCCAAACTGCAGTAATTCTCCACGGCGAGCGCAGACAAATCTGCGATTGGCAGATTTCTCACAGTGTGGAGACCAGCGGCGACAGCCTCGTCGAGCTGCAGATGTTCACAGATTATAGGCTTGTGCGGTAATCAGCTTGGTGGAGACTTGTTCACTCTCTCATTACAAGTGGCCCAGTGTGACTGACAAAGATGCAAAGGTCTTTGTCCTTAATCGCTGGAAACTCCACGGGTTCAAGTTTCTCCTTTAAACTAATGTGAAAACAGGACGCCAATTAGAGGAATGTGTTCGAATGAGACTTTTTAACGTGCAGATCAAAGCTAGCGTAAGAACCACAGAGAGAGAGGCCGGTCACATGTAAGAGGCGGGCGAATGGATATTAACATGGGACCCTATGATTAGAGAAGGGGACCCTCAGAGGAAAGTTCTGTCTCTGATGGCACTTTTTCAAAAGGGGAAGCTTGAGGGTCAATAATCCAATAATTCGGCTTAAAGCAGATGGAAAAACCAACGCTGAGAGTGCATGCATAAGTCCTGCAATGGCCTGCCCAGAATACTACCACAACTCATTTCTAACTTTCAGTCAGCTAGACTATTTAATGCAACAATAGACTTTCTAAAACTTCAATTATCTTTGTGTCCCTTTAAGAAAACCTGCCTACTACCATCAGATGTCTAATTGATCACAGAGCATGGTGAAAGTAGCACGTGACACTAAAACACACTCAAAAACTGTTTGGATGTCGTGCAAAGAAGGACCCAAAACTGCTGGAAGCATATCTAAATATTTAATGTAAGCTCTCTTTGAGTGGAGCTATTATTGGAGTGAAGGGAAAACGCACAAAATTGGTGATTTTACACAAGATAGACAGCAGAGCCGAGGCCAGGAGTGAGAGGAAAAACATTTAAACAACAAATTAACTTCTCAAATGTGACGTTTAATCTGCAACTCTTTGAAGGGAAGTGAAGTTTGTACCAAAAAAGAGGAGTGATGATCGATTACAAGTTAATAAAAATAATCTGTTCACATTTTTTATGTTTGTCTTTGTGTTTGTTTGAACTTCTGAAAAAGGCTGAAGATGGACAGTCCAGGATGTGACCCACCTCATAAACAACATCAGCTGGGAGAAGATCCAGGACCTCCAGAAACCAGATTAGAGAAGGGGTGAAGATGATAGAGAGATGGATGGATGGATGGGTGGATAGACCTATGGACATAGGGATGAATGGATGGATACAAGCATTGGTGGATGGATGGATGGATGGATGGATGGATGGATGGATGGATGGATAGATGGACGGATGGAGGTACTGATGGATTAATAGATGGATGGATGAAGGGATGGATGGATGGATGGATGGATTAATAGATAGATGGATGGATGAAGGGATGGATGGATGGACAGATTGTTGGACAGATGAATAGTAGGAAAGATGGAAGGATGAATGATAAATTAATGGATGAATATATAAAGGGGTGAACAGATGATGGGTTGATGAATGGATAAATGACAAATAGATGAATGAATTAATAATTGATAGATGGACAGATAGACCTATGGACATAAGGATGGATGGATGAATACATAATTTGGTGCATGGATGGATGGATGGATGGATGGATAAATAGATGGTTGGATGGATGGATGGATGGACGAATGAAATGAATAAATGGATAAATGTATGAATGAATGGATGGATGATGAATATGAGATCAATGGATGAATAGACAGATGGATGAGCAGATAAATGAATAAATGGATGAATGGATGGATAAACAGACGGATGGAGTGGAAAGGTTCTGGGTTTGTTTTTTTAAAGGAACACTGTCACATGTTGCCTTCTCTGTTGGCCCTCAATTCTGAGTAGATGGGATTAATTTAGTGGTTTACAAATTTATTCATGACTCTATAAGTAAAAATAAAAGACTTATAAAAGGAAATTATGAAAACTGTCCATAAGTTTATCTTTTAGATGAGACTAATTTGACTCAAAGCTGATTTAAATTCTCCCCAAGTGACTCGATTTGGTAACTTCAGGACCGCACTGATGCGACCATCATTAGAATCCTCGGTCCACGACCGGAAAGCAAATGGATGTGCATCTTTAATGGAGAGAAAGTAATGCATGGCAGCTTGATATCATGAGATGGTGAGATATGATGTTCTGTTTGGACTTGCAGTGAAGCATTTATGCAGAAAGCGTGCATTAGGGGCTCTGAATGAATGGCAAAGCGAATATGTAATGACAGTCTATTTTAGCCTCCCACAGAGCGGAGGAAGCACTTTTCTTTAATGGATGACTCACGCTGCTTCTTGTTGACAAGAACATGGTCCAATGTTCCCAGAGTGGTTGTTCTGCAAAGCCTCTCGCTCACCTGATTTCCACATTCAAGGGTTCAATTAAGGACCTGCTGGTTGAATGAGGTAAATGCCACAGTTATCTTTTACAGCACATCTCCTTTTTTGTGAAGTCTTTAGTCAGCAGACTCTCAGCAAAGCATGGCTTCAAACAGTGTGAGGCTGATATCTGTGGACCAGTACACAAACATAAAGATTGTTTCTGGTGTTACACCAAAGACATTCAGGAGTACGATCATCTGATTACACACGGAGGCATCACTCTCTGCTGCACTGATTTTATGGCTGATAGCATTTCCTGTGAGGTTTAAAGGCAGTCGGTGAAAACAAAAGTACCACAGATGAATGTATTTATACTGCGGTGATATAATAGTAAACCATTATGCACAGTTACATGCATGAAGTCAGTGACAGTTCCCTCATTGTGCTGAATCACTCTCCAATTATCCAGCAGGCTGCGGAGGGTTTCTGTGGGCAACAACAACAACAAAGGGTCTCTGTCCAGCTTTCATGTCATTGATTTTGTGGTTCAGTTCCTTCTAAGGTCACTTTTTCATTTATGTAACCTCCTCCAACACAAAGAACTACAGGGGAGAGAAGAAGAGCCAGAAACCAAAGCAGGACTCCTCATCTTCTAACCAAAAACTGCCTTTAGCTAAGTTTAAGACTAAACTTAGGATTCTATTTTTAAAATGTTTCCAATGTTTCCTTTATGGAAAATTATATGCTGAAAATATAACCCTAATAGTTAAACTTGAAATAGTCACTCTTTTTGGTTGCTGGTTACAACACTAACAGACTGTGAACACAACACAACACAACACAACACATGTCGGTACCTTTTTGTTTTTTCCCATTTGAACTTTTTGTTCCTATTTATTTAGCTATTGACCTGTTTGTTTGGCAGTGACGCATGCAAATAATATTGCTTCAAAAAGTAAACAGTATAACGAGGGCCAGGATACGGTGGCCCTGAGGATTAATGGCATTATTATTTTAGTTAAGCACAAAAATGTCAAACATGAAGATAAAAATATTTTAGAAATAAAACAAAATCATTTTGAAAAAAAAATATTTAGGAAATACAAATAAAAAAACCATTTTGAACAAATATTTTATTTTGAAAACATAACAATTTTAGAAAAACAGATTAATTTTAAGACCACAAAAACCTTTTCAGAATACAATAAGGCTAAATTTTGAAAATATTTCTGGAGAACAAATTCCTTTTGAAATAATACAAAATATTTAAGAAATACAAACAAATTCTTCATAGCATATTTTTTTGGAAGGAAAACAATTATACTTTGAAAAACGCAAAAATGTTTTGGTAAATACTGTATAAAAATATTCTGATAAAACAGCTATATTTAAAACCCCAGCATAATTTAAATGTGATTTTTAGCCAAAATAAAATAATTGGAACTGTTTTAAAACACTAAAACAAAAGACTATTAGATCATAAAAATACAAATAAGTAAAAAAAGAAAAATTGAAAACAAACTTTGAAAACAAATCTTTTTCAAACACAAAATCCCAAAAAACAAATGAATTTAAAAAACAAAAACTATTTTGGAATAAGTATCGATTTTAAACATGTAAATAACTGAGAAATTTTGAAAACACTAAAATCTTTTGCAACTTTTTTTCAGTTTTGTAATTTTAATGCCTGTAGCTGCTGTGAGGGAGCTCTTTCACTAAAGAAACAGCTTGAGTCATTTCCCCCAGCAAATATTGGTGGCGTGTGATATATCTTTTATACGTTGAACAGGATGAGATTTTTTATGTTTATTTTCACCACTTTCACATAGATTAGATCAATTTAGCAACACTATGTGTGTTACTACTTTGTCCACTGGGGGCACCAAAGTCAACACAGACAGAAAGCTCCATACAGGAGTTTTAAATACAGATGATTCTGCAGTCAATTACACACATATAGTTAATTTGCATCTCCACATGATATAATAATTGAAATAAGACATTTTTCTGGACTGATCCAACTTGATTTTATTGGCCTCAAATCTATATTTGCGGTGCTTTTTTTCTCTAATTACTCTGTTGTCTGTCTTGTAATTCCTCCTGTAAATATCTTATTATCATTGTAGATGAGGATCACCCCTCTGTGTTCCCTTAAGTATAAATGAGGCTTAATCACAGAGTAAACACTCGCCTCATATTTAGTCTTAATGCGGCTTCAGAGCAGGAGGAAATATGCGGATGTACAGAGACATACATGCGTGCCCTCTCAGCGAGTCATGGCAGGAAGACATTTATAGTGTTGCTCCTGGTTGTTAACATGATGGTGACATGTGTTTACTGTAACATGTAAAGCTGCTTCATGGGTCCATACCTCCTCTGCCACCTTTAAATCACAACTGGACCCATTTTGACCCAAATATTTGACTAAAAAATAACATTTATACACTGTGCATTTCAGGAGTAAACTGAAAATCTAAATAATTAGTAGTATCAGACGCCACTCTGTGATGTTGTGATGATTGTTTTTTTTAATGTAGTCGTAGTTTAAGGTCAGGGCTTCTGAAAGACCTTTTCATGGAGCTGTTTAATCAGACAGGATGTCTGATTCTAAACATGTTCATGAACTCTGTAACAAACTTACACACTACTTCAGACACGCTGTTTTCCCATGAAATGGTGAAATTGATATTAGCAGGGGTCTTAAAGAGCACATAAAGCACATGTTTGTGTACACTGAGATGTCTTGTACACAGGGCCCAGGAAACCACAAGCCTCTAAGCAATTTCTGTTTTATATAGATCTAAGACTGAGGAAAAAAAATACATTATATTATACAAATTATATATGGAAACACTGTATGGGTGATAAAATATGCCCTCTCCATCTACCACATGTATTACTCACTGGTATGCTTCCAGTTAGCCTTGTACAACTGCAATAACCAAAACTAAGCAGGGATCACAAGACCTTAAAACCTACATCGTTTATATAGCAAAGTTAAAAGTGTTAAAATCCAAAAAAGACGCTGTGAACATGTTATTGGTGAGGGTGGCAAACTTTAATCTGTGAGCTAATTGGCTGTAGAAAAACTAATTAGCTGCTAAATTAACTGTTATCTGTTTTCAGCCACATAGTCCTTTTTTGTTGTTTTTTTTTTTTTTACTTATTAAGCCTTCGATTTAATTTTTATGCATACATTTTTTTGGTTTAACAAGGTATTTTGTTTTTAAATAAGTTTGTTTCAAAATGTGTCTGTTTTTTTATAAGTTGTTTTTTTAAAATGTACCTGATTTTTTTTCCAAAATTATTCATATACTTTTTAAATTTGTTTTCCAAAATACTTTTGTGTTTTCGAAATAATTTCTGTTTTCGAACATATTCCCTTTTTTATTTTTTTTTTTATTTAAAATTTGAGAATAATAGAGTTTTTAAAACATTATTACTAATTTGGTGCCAAATGCTGTAAGTATCTAAATATTATTTACGTCATTAAAACTTTTTTCAGATTTATTCATTTATTTATATAATATTTTTTTTCTGTAAAAGAATTGTTTGTGTGTGTTATGAAACATTTATTTATCATTTATTTATTTATTTGTGCCATTGACCCTCAGGGCCACCGTAATCTGGAGCCCTGTTTTGGCCATCTTTAGTTTTTCTAGACTATGAATAAGTTCTTCACTGTCTATGTGTTTAAAATTTACAGTATCCATATGTTCCTAGCCTGAATAGATCTATTAAGATATTCAGCTCGTGATGATTAGGCCACTTTCTCCCGCAAAGTCACAGCTGCAGCACAGGCGCTCTCTGCAGCACATCCTGCAGCTGCAACAGGCCACGTGTGCAAATTTGTGAAGGCCTGTTAGTCACTGCTTGAAGCTTTAATGCAACAATATCTCACATTATCATCTGAGTCAGAACAAAGCGAAGGAGGCAAATGTGTAAGAATAACCTGAGAATCAGACAGATAATAGAGCATAACAGGCAGGAGAAGCTGTAACATAATGAGTCTCTAATATCCCACCGCTGTCACCTTTCTAAACAGGGTTAACCAAACATTTGATGTCATTATCCTGACGTCTTAAAGCTCGGCAGCTCTAAAGTAAAACATGACATTAGATTAATACCTTTGACTGAGTCAATCAGTTGAATATTACAGTCTATGACAGAGCCAGGCTGTGTTTGATTACACAGTGTTGATTCCTATAGGGGAGGAATGATGGACTCCTCTCTCATTATCTGGTTTGGATGAGGACATACAAAGGACTCTCACATTCCTCACCCTGCAGCAGTCTCAGAGGCCTAAACTCTCCCTGCGCTTGTGAGAGATCCATGTCACGATCAGACAGGGAGAGAGTGAGCTGCAATATGTTGTATATCACTTCCTGGAGGGATGAAATGCCTCAGAGCAATGTTCATAAATGTCAGTCATGCCTCTGCGGAGGACCGAGCTGCTGAATTAATATTATATGTCAAACAATGCTCAGTCCTATTTTATTGGTCTATTCGGTTAGCACACATAGTCTGAGCCCTCAGGCACCTGGACCTGTCCTGGCCTGCGTGGTGGATCCAGGCTGCCTCACATAAAGTGAGCTGTCTAATATTAGAAATGGGCTGTTGTTATTTTAGCTGAGAGGACGTTAAATGGATGGCAGAAGAGGAGCTGGCTATCTCGTCCGGACCGTAAACTTAAAGTGGATCGACGGTTTTTCCCCAGGGGTCAAAAATAAAGAGCCTAAGCCTTAAAACTGCGAATTTGTCCTTTACCGGTTCATCTATTTCAACATTTAACTTTTGTGTTTCATAATAAAGTTGCATTTGATGGTATTAAACAATATAAATACTGTTGGTATTTGCATTTAGGGCTAAAAGGGACCTTGAA